GTTTTAACGACACGCTTGTGCTCTTATTGCCCGTTTAAGGTTTTTCTATTATATGTTTAGTTTGTTTACGTAAAAGTGGAAAATATATGGAAGTTTGCAAAAGCGATAATAACGGTTACTTTAAATGCGTATATAACGAAAAATATACATGCATGTGTATATATATTATTAATTATTTTAACAATAAGATATGAATAGAAAGAGAGAAAAGTGAAGAAAAAGAAAGTATTCAAATATAGACACAGTATTTTTTACAATAAAATAGTATGAAAAAGTCAGTCGAAACATTTACAGAGGTCAAAAAATTTACACGATATATCGCGTAATTGTTGTTGAAATGATATGTCTAACGATATGCCTAATGACGCAAAAAGGGGACATATTCGTTTAAATTATTATTTTTTACTCGTTTCTTTAAAATGTAAAATATATTTTAACTATTTACAAAAGACGTTTTTCTAAAGTGTTACACAAATATTTATATAAAAAAGTTTTTTTTCAATATCCATTTAATATTAAATTAATACAAACGAAAGGACGCGCGAAATTTTTCAAATACAAATATCCGTTTTACAAGTAATGCTAAATACTTTAGTAATAACTACCAAATAATTTGATAATTACCATAGTATTTGTTAACTATAACCAAGTACTAATATTACACCGTATAGGTATTGTTGTCACAAACATTGCGTAAATGAATCGTAGCTCCGTCTAGGATTAGTATAGCTTTTATTTGTATACCTGCAAAAAATTAAAATTTGTAGACTAGAAGTGTAAGAAATTAAAATGTTTAAGTACCCTAAAAGTGTGAAAAATTAAAGTTTATACCTTAAGTGTGGAAAAAATTAAAACTTGTAGGCTAGAAGTGTGAGAAATTAAAATGTATACCCCAGAAGTGCGAAAATTTAAAGTTTATACCTTAAATTTGTGAAAAATTAAAATTTGATTAATATTTCATCCGGTAAAAACAAATCAACTTAATAGAGGCCCTCCCACCGCCTCCCACCACCCCCGCCGACTTCAAACGGCGATCCTCTTTTCTTTGGATGTGTGCTTTTTATTATTTATTTTTTTTTTTATCATAAAAGTTACAATATATAACAATGTATAACATTACAATTTATTTATCACAATTTTTACAATTTATTTTACATTAAAAAATAGAAAACATACAAAATTATTATACATTTATATAAAATACAATAAATTTAAGACGTTACAAAGAAATTCGAGATATTTATATACTTTCATTTATATTAAAAATGCATACATTTGAGATATTTTACTAATGCCAGATTACACGAAGGCGTTCGAAATAAGTATAATAATATCAAAATTCACTACTTTTAAATCAGGAATTTGATTAGTGCAAAAACTGCAAAAAATTAATTTTTTATTACTAAATATTCTCATTATAGAAAAAAATCCGAGAAATTTCGTGGTTCAAGTCAACGATCAAGTAAGAAATAACTAGACCACCGATTTTATCAGAGCAAAGTCCCCCCGTCGATGACACACCCGTCAGTTGCTGACGTAGAGAAGAACTGCTCTCAAGATGAAAAGTGAGCTGAATATACCTTGATTTGATGAGCCCCGTGAAATCAAAAGATCGAGAAAGAAAGTTTAATAATAACCCGTTGAACGTCAAGGGCCCCGGTACAGGAAGAAATGAATCCCAGATCTTCCGGATTGCCCCCGATAACGGTCATTTGAGCAACGAGTTAACGACAGTCGTTTTTCAAATTATTGCATCCTGCCCGTATAATTACACTTGAAATATTTTTCCATTATTAAGATGTATTTCTTTCTTATAATTAAAATGTATATCCATTACGATATATATATTTCTCTTATTTAAAAAATATATGAATAGAATAACTGATATCGAGAAATAGTTGCAACCAAGTATATTTAATAACAAAATGCATGAAATATATGCATTTGATAATTAATATTAATATTCTGGTAAAATCTTTAGAAATGATTTTCTATGAGAAAAAAATTGAAAAATAAAATATAGTTGTTTGTAACTGCATTATATCATAAAATGTAGCGTAATTGTATCCTGCTACATTTTTTATTTTTTTCTTCTCTTTTTAAATGTATTCTTTATTTCTTTTCGTTTCTTTCTTTTTCCTTTTTTCTCTTTTTCTTTTTTCTTTTTTCTTTCTATTTTATAAACAGTTATTTTATCCATATCTACTTCAAATCTTTTCATCAGCAAGACAGAAGCATAATGAAACCATATTATTAATACCGAATAGTCATAGTTTTTGTTATTCAATTTTATTGGCTGGATGTGGGCACAGCACTCCGCAAGGAATGACTCCCATCACCCTTTCTCATTGCGATAGTTTTCACGAGCTCCTGTGACGGTTGTTTCAGATCGTACGCCCATCCGATCATCGCGTACGAATCTATGAATAACGTGGCAAGATTATATTTGAAATAATTATGAAACTCGGCAGCCTTGTAGTCCCACGGGAAGACATGATGATAATTGTGCCATCCTTCACCGCCCGTTGTAATTCTAACCCACCAATTTTCTGTTGGATTTATGTATCTGCCATCAAAATAAACAAGGAAAAATTACTCGTAAGCGACACAGAATAGCGCAAGCTTCGAAATTTCTTTCGATCAAGTTTGTTAAATGTATGAATAATTGTAAATTTAAAATTATTTGGATCTTAATTATGTGCTTACGCATTGTATGGCTTTGAGCCCCAGAGATGAGCCACACTATTCACGGTCCAAGTGGCGTTTAATATGACAGTATAACGAATAATCTGTGATACGAAAGCTCTAGACCATGTTTCATTCCATCCGTACACAGGCACCATCACCGGAAGCAGGAAAGCGAAGATAAATTTGAGTATCGAATGATATCTGCGAAATATCATAAATTACTTATGATATGCAGTTTTCTTATTTTACATATCGTTACGCATTATATCTTGCAAGAAAACCCTCGTAAAAAAAAGATTTTCTAAAATAAGATTGCAGAAAAATGTCGGAATAATAAATACTCATTTTCAAGCTGAATCAAATAAATGGGAATAAATTTCCTCTTGTTCTCTTTTGTTCTTTTTTTTTTTTTAATATAAAAGCATCTTGCGTATTTAATTATTCATTCTCTGCGCAAACTTACTTGCGATCAAATTCGGCGATAGGATCGGCCAATATATCGCTCATATCGACTTGACGACCCCTTCGGATCATCTCCGGATGTTTCTTCATCATCAGCCAGCCTACGTGGGAGTAAAAGAATCCTCGTTTACTACTGTGAGGATCTGCGTCCGTATCCACATATTTGTGATGCACCCGATGATCTCGCACCCACTCATAAAGGTTGTTCTAGAAAAAAAAAATTGTTAAAAAAAATTCTTTCGTTTTGCACCACACGAAATGGTAATTATAAACGTTCGATTACCATGCCGGCCGAAGCGTAGCAAACGACAAGTATAATTCTAAGCGGCCATTTTGCCTTGTAAGATCGGTGGGACCATAAACGATGAGCACCAACGATGAGGCCTTTCATTCCCAATGTATACATAATATATGCTTAAAATAAAATAAAAAAAAACAACACAATTTAATAACATTTGTTATGCTCATGAAAACGCATAGGAATAATTAACGTATATCTCGCGATTGTACAAGTAGCTCCGGTTATTGGTACAATTAATCTTTTATAACATTCTGTTGTCTGCAATGCTATGGATTCTATTGACTGTAAAACTATATAGAGTTTCGAAAAAAAACATAAAATTTAAATTGTCCTAACTTGTCCTGTATCAAATACGCTGTTAATTTTTATATTAATTATTATTATTATTTACATTAGTGACGGCTTCACATACACACACACACACATACACACACACACACACACACACACCAATTTTAATGACTTATATATAGATATCGTCAGGGCAGACACGTGGAAAGTTGAAAATCAATCTGGAATTATTTTTTTTTTTTTTAATGTCTTCTTAAATGTATAAGTATTGTTCGCGATTACGAATGCTCGAAATCACAAATGTTCCAAAATATTATTTTTAATTTATCGATACTGCTAATCGTCATAGCGTGAGGTGTAACATGATATTTATCAAGAGGATCGCAACGGCGTATCAGTTTCGGGTTCATGTTTTGATAATATTATTATTATTATGTCGAGCCGCTCTTTGTAATTCGCCGGCACGGTCTCTTTGGCCATCGATTTTCTAAACAAAGATAACCGTCTTGGTCTATTATTTCATCTACTGTTGCTAAGAGCTCGTCATCCCTGGCGTGTTCTTTGTTCCGCGTGAATATAAGAATCTACGAAACTTACGGCGCGTTACTATTTGCCATTAGTTTGTTAAGAGTAAATCTGTCATCGTCGATTGCTCGGCAATGATCAGTACGGGTAGTTCGACACGGCGAACAAGAGAGAGTTATTTCATTTAAAACACCAGTATTCTCAGTTTCAGTCAAAATGCTCAAATGTGTTTCTAAATTACGTTGTTTTTTAATTCCGTTAACCTTTATTATTTTTCGTTGTTTAAATAAAGTGTTTTGTGTTACTTCAGTTCTTCGGTGTCGGTGATCTCTCATCCACTTTACCCCTTCTCACAGTCCTCACTTATACGCGCGCGAACATGGTGTTAAAAAATTACGTTTTATTCATTAAATTTATTTTATTAATAACTTTGTAAACAATTTGCACTTTTTAAACAACAAGCGATGGCTAAAATCTTTTGAAAGTTATACAGGGTCGTATTCTTGACAATATATATTGAAATCGGTGAAATCGCTACTAATGTAAATAATTATCTTTATATTTTTCTGAGTGTTTCAAAGTGGCGATTGAATTACTTTTATGATGTGTTTTTTAACTACCGCGACATTCGACAATTAGTGATGACTTATGACAAAATCGATATTGTATCAATAGA